TCCTCCACCCACCCTCAAGCCCTCCCCCTCCATTTAACCCGTCTGACGCGCGCATAATGTCGCAAAATGTTCAAACTACACATTAATTTTTGATAAAATGGCTTTCGACTCGGTCGAAATTGTCTTTTGCCTGCTCCAGAGTCCGGACCGGTTACGTTTGAATTCTCGAATACGTATATATTCATGCGGTCTAAGCACTTTGAACTTCGACTTTGGCAATGGGTTTCGGTTTAAACAAGCCATTGGAATACAAAATGATGGTGTCGGCGCGAAATAAATTTCGACTTGATTATATTTGTTTGCATTGCAATTTGACATTGTTATGGTTATTTGTGCACTTAATTTAATGCATAAAAAATGCCCGATAAAGTCATTATGGCGATAACTACGCATACACATAAACATATGGCAGTTTTTTTTTATTATTTCTTAACTTTAGTGCTTAAAAGCGATATGGAGAAGTCTGTTGTAAGAATTGTTTTGTACTGGAATTTGAGCTTTTCTATTGAATTAATTTTGGATGAATTATTTTATTAATGCAATTTTGGACCCTCTTGGAGCCCCGAGCACTAACTGTTGTTTCGTGGCTGGCAGATTGGCTTCGGTTTGCTTGATTTTGAAACTGTTGCGGTGCAGTACGACGTGGTGAGGGGCGGTTGCTCGACCATTCAGCTTACAAAAATTCATTTATTTTCATTTATTGTTTCACATTTCCCACAGGACGGCGAGAGTTGCAATTACCGCAGCCGAGGAATAAATGTGAAAGAACGCCAGAAATTCACCCAAAAAATGTGAAAAAAATTGGGGAGAAAAGAAAAAAGTTGCTGCGACGCGTCGCACAAAAAGTTTTTCTCGAGCGAATTTTATTTACTTTTTACTGCCCAGGAGTGTTCATAATTTTGTTGACTTGTCGTGTGGATTGTAATTTTTACTGCAGGACAAGCACAAATACATAATTGAATAACAACTCTGAGGCAACAGCTCAGACCAGACCCAGAGAGTCCTCAAAGCAATTCGTGGAAAAAATGTTCCTTCTTCTCAACACAACTTCTGGGTAGGTTGTCAGATTTGCGTGCGTACGGCTAGAAAGGGTGAAGGATAGCGTATCGGCCCCAAAAAAGAAGCAAGAAAACTTTTAATTCAATTTTCTGCGTTGTTAACTCGAACGCTGAAGTTGATTAATTTCGCATTTTTACGCCCTGCGAGTATTATACTTGTATGGAACAGCATAGTCAGTCGTTGTGGTCTACACAGACAATCTTCAATTTTTCCTTCTTCACGTTTCACGTTTCAAGCTTCAAGTTTTGTCCCGAAATTACCGAGAGTTGAAATCTTTTTTCCCGCCGCTGTAACCAGCCAAGGCAGAAATATGGCGTTGAATCCTTTGGGAAATTTCGATATCACACTTTATTCGCCATGCGTGTGTGTGTGTGAGTTAGAAGCACACAAATATATACTTACTTACTGCCAGAGTTCATTACACATTCGCGTATGTACATACATATACACATATGTACTATATATATATGCTTTACTTACATTCGTATGTGAAGGCGGCAGCTAAAATGAAACGAAAAGCTGAAATGAGCAAAGTAATGAGAAATGCACAATGACGGCGAAAAAAGAACCAAGCAATGATTAACCGCAAGCAAACATATCCTTATTCACACTCCCAACCACTCCTCCTATACTCGGATGTGGGGAGCCTTCTCCCCCCCCCCCCCCCACTCCCCTCGAGTCATAATAATTATGAGCGCATCATTTGCTTTGGCAGCAGGGCGTGCGATTTTATCGAACGGTGTGACGGGGAGGAGGGCGGAATGTGGGTTGCCACAATTGGAGTGGTGGTGGTGGTGGTAGGGGGTGGGGGTGTGGGTGTTTCAAACAGTTGCAAAAGTAATTTCCAATCAATGTAATTACTTGCTCTTGATCGGTTGTCCACAACCGCACTGGCTTAACAGCAATTAATGATTTATTAACTTTGTTTGAAAAGCATTGTTCGACATCATTGGAAAAGGGTGTTTAGAACGAAAAAATCTAGATTATGATCGAATTTGGAAACATGTTTTACTTGAAATCTTCAATCATTTTCGTATTTATTTACATTTTTCTCGAAATGTACTTACAAATTGAACATAATTCGCAAGATTGCGATTCTGTATTTAAAACTTAGAGTGTGATCAACTATAACTTCATTTATCATAATACATACTCTTATATATGTATGTATATTGCATGTAATTTAAAAAAGATTATATATAAGCATATCACCGAAAAAAGACATAATTAAAGATAAAGAAATGTGTACAAATTTAAAAAATTCAAACAAATAGCTTCGGGGCCTTCTGTTATTTTAAAGCAATAATGTTGTTGGTGATGGAACAAAATGTACTTAACATGTCTGTTATTTATATTTTCTTTTTATACTCTGTTCATGAAAACGAAATACGTATGGCAGTCGCGTGAGCGAATTTACAGTTATGATTTTTGATTCCTCGCCTTCACTTTAACATTCTTAAAGAGAGATTCTGCTTGCAGCGCAATGCAAGGCTTAGTTTTTCTCGACCTGTTGAACGCGACGCGCCGTTTGTATTTGGAGTTGCCGAAAACTCTGAGAAAAACTTTAATTAATAGTTTAAATATTAGTAAACTGATGTAAAAGCATATGTACATATTAAGTTGTGCGTGAAGTGTGCAAAATCTGTGTTTATAAATGCGAAAATGCCGCGCGACTAATGTGCTGCAGTATGTATGTATACTTATGTGTGTATGTGTGTGATCGTGATTTCAAATAAAATGCGCAGTGCCGCAATTTTTGTTTTTATTTTTTTCAAGTGTTTGTAAATGTGATTTAAATAAGTAAAGGTGTTCAATTTGAAAATAATATTTAATTAAAGCGATCGCAATTAATCTGAATGTAAATGTAAGTACGCAGCGATTTATATTAATGACTTTTTTGTCATGTATGTATGTATGTACACGTATGAATAGCTCTCTCGCCTTTTTATTAGCAGACCAAATGTCACCGTAACATAACATAAACATAAAAAGAAAGAAAAAAAATTAATTTACAGAACTTGCCGAATGTGTTGTTTAACAGACTGCTAACTGGCCCACATTTGTGTGTTGAGTCTGTTGTATGAAGACATACCAACAAGTTGGAGTGTTGGGTGGTCGAGCAAAGGACCAAGAGAGCGCAGTTAGATCAATCAGAAAAGCAAGAGAGTGTACGAATTCTATTAAAAAATGTAAGTCGGGACGATTCCATTTGTTCGGTTTTTGCAAAATTAAAGAAACTACGATTATTGAAAATAAATGAAATGTATAATGTATGTACAAAATGTACATGAAATGTACAAGAGTATATAAGGTTTGCGGGAGGTGAAAAATGTAACACGGAGAAGTAGGCGTGGCAGACCCCACAATGTATGTATATTCTTGATCAGCATGACAAGATGAGTCGATCTAGCCCTGTCTGTTTGTCCCTCCCTCCCCCCTCTCTACCCCCATTAGCGATTTTCCATAACTCCTGTAGTTCTTGGAATTTCGAATTTCAAATTTGGCGAATAGCTCCAGTTAGTGATTATAAGTACGTTTGCTATGATATACATACATATATTGCATTATGATATTGTTGTTGTTGCTGCATTGCACACCGACACACACAAACACGCATAATTATTCTACACATATGCACAGAGTATTTCAAAGGACACTCGACTTTAGCCTCTCAACTTCTTTAGTTTGTTACAGTTACTAACACATACCTAAAACAACTCATTAAAACGGAACTAGTCTAAGTTGATCTTCTCAGATATTCTTAGACTCAAATATATTATAGAACTCGTCGTTTGTACTTAGAGCTAAATTAAGGCGATTAAACATATTGAAATTTTATGGATCTTAGATTACACTCAAGGTATAATATCGGTGTTACCTTCGTCTCAGAATTATGAAAGTCATAGTGTATAGGATTTAGGTAGGAGTCAAGGGAAGGTACTACTTGTATTTCAAACTAAGGACACTTTTGATTCCAGGAGGCTCTTGTCAAAACGAAAGAAATTAGTGAAATATTATTGTTAGAAACAAATTATGCTTTATTAAATTTATTGCTATTTTCCAATGATTTCTTTGATGTATTCATGTTACACTATTCATCGTTTACAATGAATTTTGCAAACCATTAAAGACTATTAAGACGAAACCACCGTTATGGGTGTCTGTTGAGCAATATATGTAAATTCCTTAAAACTATATAAAGAATGGTGTTTCATTTTTATTGATACGCATTGTGTATTTTAATTAATATTTCGTCATTCGACATGGTTTCAGTTCACAGTCGAGCGCATCATTTTAAATGATAATCTTTCGATCTGTTCTGTGTTCAAAATGTTCTGGAGAAAGTTTGTAAGTCTGAACAAAGAAAACAAATGGAGCTTCGTAACGTGAAAGCACAACATTAATTTTTGGCTTGTAGAATAGCAGAAACCAAAAAATAAAGAGAAGAAAAAGCGGCAACGGCTTTTGTTGCCTCAGTTTTCTGCTTCAAAAAAATGTTGCCAAAATTCCTAATGACAAACAATCAGCAAATGGACGAAGCGTGAATAGGGGAATATAATAAATCAAATGTATTGTTCTGGTATACGAGTGTGTATACATGCATATGTATGTAAATAGTTATGAGTATTTATCTTAATTATTCAGCACTTCATTGGATCTGATGCCAAATTTGCATACGACAAGTCTTGGCAAGAACTTACCATAAACACGTCCCCAACTCAACTTCCATGTAATTACGAGTGCGAACAAAAACTAATAAAACAAACAAACAAACAAAAAATAAAACAATTAAAATATTTATGAGTCAACATGAGATGTAAAGAGAGATTTGCGTTGTGTGTGTGTGTGTGGAGATTTGATCGAGCCATGGAATAATGGCGTAATTGAAATTGAAGGCCTCGTCTGGAACAAAGTTCAGTTGGAATTGCCGAGGCGGATTGTTAAATGAGGCGTTTTTTATTTGGCAACTTGCGGTTAAGTAGAGATACGTACATACAAACATACGAGTATATTGTATTTTGTTATAAGTAGAAGTAATGGAAGTAATTACCAATTATAATTATTATGAATAATTTAACTAAGCATAGACAATAAACAGCGCATAAAAATCACAAGCTGTTGGAACTACCGACGTTCGTAGCGCTGGGCACGTGGTATGGGTTCCGCCTTGCTTTTTAGCAGATACTTGTTGAAGGCGGCTGGGGAGCCGAAGGCCTTAATGGGGAACTTGCCGAAGCGTCCGTTTGTCTTGGCGACCACATAGTAGATCGGATAGGCACCAGGGGTGACCTCGACGGGCAACGCTTGGCTAGCCAGGCCCAGATTATTGTTTCGGCTGCTTGCCTGGTCGAAGATGAACTGTAGCTGCTTCTGCTGTTTCATTTTCTGCTTGGGAAAAGGTTTTAGTTCCGGCGCATATTTCAATACGGGCACTTCTTCACCAGTTAGAGGAGCCGGACGTGGGCGACGCATGCGCCTCGAGTCCAAGTACTTGCGTTGAGTGCCCGGACGCAATGTCTGTACCTGGATGACGGCCGAGTTCATGCTGTTCCCAGTGTGATCCTTCTTCGATGGCAGGTCCAATGGGTTCACTCGAATCACCTTCTGTGTGGTGTTCTCAAACCGATCGCTTATCACATCCTCCTTGATGACGTCAGGCATTGTCTCAGGCGCCTCATCTCCACACACCAAGCCAAAGCACAGCATCAAGCCCAGAAGCTGCCAGAGAATTAATCAAAACATCGTTTCTTACATAAACACAGCCTAACAGATCATTAATCAATTTACCAGTAGTTGTTGACTGCTAAACATCTTGTAATTTGGCAACAACAACAAACAACAACAGCAACAACAACACACAAATGACCAACACGTTAGTTCCGTCGAAATGACTGGACTGGACTTTGGGAATTTCGGTTACTCTGCCTGATATGGAGATAGGTAGGTATGCCGATCTGCGCCCACTCCGCTTTGCGACCTATGTTAAATGCTGCCGTTTGACGACTGATTCGCGATCGCTGCCAACATCGCCGGTGTAAGCTTGCCAGCTTCTATTCTAGCCGTTGTTCCCCCCTCCCCCCTTCTGTGACCACTAATGCCATTGTTGCCATAATTAAGTGGCTTTTTGCTCTGCTCTTTGGCTCGGTTCGACTCGGTTTAGATCTTCTATGAAGCAGCAGCAGCAATAGCCAGAACAAATTATGAGCCGAATTTCGATAGAATACCAGAAATAGTTGTTGTACCCTGCATCTGTATCGGAGTATAGAGGGCATCGTGAAATCGTTTTGCTATACGTAACAGCTGCGTCACGTTTAGTCATGTTCTGCGGACAGATTGTCTGTATGAACACTTATAACTCGGAAACCAAGCGAGCTAAGGCCATGAAAAATATATATTATTTAAATAAAGACTAGTTTTGTTTTGAATACCATACTCCACCCTCCTCCTTAAAATTTCAATTCAAATTCATTCACACTTTTTTTTAGCTCTCTGTCAAACAAAGTATGAGTTGTACCGCAAAAAATAGGTCTCGAATTTAAAATAAAACATATATATTGTTCATTTATGTATATTATTTAAATAAAGACTAGTTTTGTTTTGAATACAATACTTCACTCTCCACCATACAATATTAATTCATATTCATTCAAAAAATAGGTCTCTGCGCCATATAGAATTTAAAGACAACACTGTGATCAAGCCATCTTCAATTATTCGTCAGCCTGTATGTATAGATATTGAAAACTGTAATAGCTAGAGTTTGCAAACTTTGTATGCTGGAGTAATAGCACTTTTTAATTTTATCCACATAGCGTGTTTAAATGCCATATAGATAAGCGAATTTAAAGACAACACTCTGATCAAGCCATATTCAATTATTTGTCAGCCCGTTTGTATGTATGAACGCTTTTATATTGAAAACTGTAATAGCTAGAGTTTGCAAACTTTGTATGCTGGAGTAAAGGCAATTTTTAATTTTATACAGATAGGGTGTTTAAATGACGTAGAAGAGCTACATTGTCTGTTTTGTTTTGTTTTTGCCATCCCGAAGGCAACGATCGAACGCACAGTGGGTCACAGCTGTGCGAATTTGGTCGGCGGCGCGTGTTCATCGCCAATGTCTCGGCTTAAAGTTGATAGCTCCATGATAGACATTGTTTGTAAAGTAAATTGTGATTACCTCATTGATTAATTGGTTTGTTTCCCGCCAACAACGACAACGTCGGCCTCAGTCTCCGCCACTGCCTGATCGGTGATCAGAGTCTCCGCCAAAGCCATCGTCTGACACTGACGTAGCAAGTATTGTTTTTGTTTTTGTTTATTTTCTGTCAGATACTTTGTTAGGTATTTGATTTCAAGCACCATTAAGTATGCATTACTAATTATTGTAATGGAATTATTTATGATTATGAATAAAATCGGGTATTGTGTCTGACATGCACATTGTTTGCCGCCGACAGAGAACGAGTATAAAAATAAACAAACACTTCACGATACAAATCACAATTTCAGCTAAAATCACCTGGCAGCGAAGGTAATTCAATTAAAATCTGTTGTACAGAACGTAGTGCTAGCCCCCCGAAAGCATATGCCACGATATATATGCGATAACCGAAATCTTGTCTATAAATACATAATTTGGCAAATTCATTTCGCAATTCCCATTATCATTAGGTTAAACTCGTTTTGCATACGCCGAGCAAATACAAACAGATTAATGACAATCTGATGACCTGGTGATGATAATCTTCGGAGATTGATGAATTTCATTAATCAATTTAATAAGCGTACGACGCTAAATAGGCCAGAACGTAACCGATAGCTCTTTATATGTATATCTTCTTAAGTGGTGTATCAAATTTAAAGAAAGTTTAAAAGTTTAGAGTATGGATAATATGAATTCACAAAATATTGAAAGAAAATACTAACCAATAATTTTTTTCTTAATTCGTATATTAGTTTCATTTTGAAAGAACTTTGACTTTATTTGATTATATGAATTCACAAAATATTGAAAGAAAATACTAACCAATAATTTTTTTTTTTAATTCGTATATTACAAGTAGTTTCATTTTGAAAGAACTTTGACTTTATTTGATTGTCAATATCACCTAGAGTTCTAAAAATTTTAAATTTGAAGAAAAATTCCAATTTATAAAAATATATATAATATAATATAATATTTCAAAGTATTTTCCGTAGCTTGAATCAACTGGGTCCATTACAAAAGTAAAATGATTTTGTACTAATAGTTAGAAATTTGCGTACCTAACATAGTTAATATAGTTAATAGAATCAGTGATGTATATTATTGTAGCAAGCGTTACTCAAAATCAATCAAGCCTACAATAATAAAACGACATTAAATCTCTGAAGAATAAGTCGCACTTCCTCGAAGGTCAAGTTAAACGAATTATATAAGGAATTATGAGCTTAAAATGAGCATGAGTGTGAGGCAAACATTTATAGTCAATGTCTTAAAAGAAAATAAGTATAATGCTAATGCCGCTCACGTCTGATATCTTTTTACCTTGTGCTTAGTTTAGTAATTAATTGAACCTTGTGACGAAATTATTCTTTTTAATTTAAAATTTGTTTCAACTAAAATTTAAAATACAGTGTAGAAAGAATACAAGTATATACACTTAATTCTGTTTTTACACGGTAGATTGATTCCAAAAAAGTCGTGTGAAATAGACATTGATTATGTGCAAAATGAATCGCGCTAAATGAAATAAAATGGAAAACTGTGTTAAATCAAAACCGTGCAAAAAAAGACCGTGTAAAAACAGAAGTATAAGTCTACGCAGATTAAAGTATAATTGCTTCCAAGTATCGCAAGTGCTGTAAAAAGAATGTTTTTAGTGGGGAACCGGGGGTTGATTGAAAAGAAAATATTGGGTATTACAAACACTGTGGCCTTGGTATACAGGCTATAACTACGAAACTGGTTCAAAAAATTACTGCTTACTGTCACTAATAACATCCGTGTTGGACTTTTCAAACCGGAAATTGATAAAAATAAAAATATTCTAATATTCTATGAAATGTACTCGTATAGGCGCCTTTCCGAGTTTGACTTTGTTGAATTAATGCATTTATCAAATGTTAGACCGACCCCCACCATACGCTAATAATTCATGGTTAATTCTTTAATTCTGTGCTTCCTACAAGCAAGTGTTGAAATCGGGATATAACTTACCCCGTTTGTCCAAGATTTATAGAAAAATTTTAAAGCACTAAAAATTACTTTATTAGTGAAGCGAACTAAAAATATGAATGTTGCTGCTTTATGTACTCGTAGCCGGTTAAAATTATTTCTGCTAGTTGTTTTAGTTTTCTAAAAGCAACTGGAACTACAAGATAAGTGGAAGGAGTAAGATAAGAAAAGGAAGTGAAAAGCAGAAACTATAGAATCAAGACCTTAAAGAATGCCTCTTTGCCTTTCTGTCTATACATCCGTATCTATTGATTTTATAGAAACTTTTGCACGCTGGTGTTTTTCTCTTTTATGTTTCGATCATAAAAATTCACTTTGCCGAAAAGTCAATGACAAAAAATGTAAGTCTTAGACGTGCAAGGCGCACACAAAAAGAAATCACTTCACAGAAGACCACAAGTTAAGTAACCAAGCGTTGCATTGGAGTCCTGCGGCAGCAGTAAAACCGCAAGGCAAGGATGCGACGGACAGTGAGAGGAGCTTCAAACAGATACAGTCACAGTCACAGGCATTGGCACTTCCATTTGCATTTCCATCATCGAGAGCGCTATTGTCGCGCCATCGATTGTTATTCAAAGCAGCAATAATCTGTGCCAGGACGAAAGAACCGGGGGGACATGCCCATAGATAAGTCGCGCAAGAAACGCTGAAGGAAATGCAAAGCAGGGAGGTGGTTCAGCGATGCTATGCGTGGCTTCGGTTTCGGAAGTGCTCGGGGAATTGGAAAGCAACTCAACAGGTTTTAGCTTTTAAGCCCTTTCGCTTTGGTTGAACGGGTGATGGGTTGTCGCGCTACTCGAACGACGCGAGCCAATTTCGTAATCAGTAATGGATTACTTAAAGTAAGTACAAGTATGTGCGCTCATTTATTGTTTGTTACCCAACCACAAGACAAAGTGTGCATTTTCAACTTAAAGCCGAACAAAAATTGTTAGAACTGTGTTTGCGCGGCCGCAGGGCTCTGTAATTAGATTTCAAAAAGGGTCACATGTCGGGCATGATGTGGGTTTTTTGTGTAAACATTGGGCATACTTATATTTTTTATAGCAAAGGTCAACACGCATTCGCTCCACTAAATGGTGACCGCAAATAATTCTCAAGCTGAGCCGTTGCTTTGCGACTGCTCCTCGAGGCAGGCGTCCGTCCTTTCCTCCAGCTAATGGATGCCAAATCCGTGGGCATTTGTTTTACGTGTGCTACAATGCAGTTGAAATCTCGCTGGACCACGGTTTTTGGCTGGGCAATAAATTACATATTAGCTATAAGGATCTTTATAATTTACGAGCTGGTTTTAACCTCACAGAAGGTTACCCCTTTTGGAGTCAAAATGTTAAATGGTGGGAGTAGATAAGTAATAAAAATTATTCACATAGCCGGTACATACCTGGACCATTTGTTTTAATGTTGCTAGCCGCAGTGATATTATATTTACACCCATATCTAGCAATAACACAATGACGTAACAATTTGACACTCTAAAGATGCTGATGTACACATTGTCGGCCCAAATGCTTATTTAGTTTTGTTAAGGGATATCGTCTTCCTAGTCCTATAGTCTTCCTTCCTTTGTGGGGGTTGAAGGTTCTAGTGAAAGTTCGCACATTTCCTTTGCCGACATTTCAGCGCTTCATCTCACATGTTACATGTGATTCGTGTTTTTATTGCATGACAATTACCACAATCTTATTCGGGGCAAGAAAAAGTAACCGTAAAAAGAGAGAAATGGCCCTTTAGAAAGCAAATAACCGTTAT